TGTAGGAACCCTGTAATAATAAGTGATGCACAGTTGATTTGTAGGGATCAGCAGTACCACAGCTGTCTCTGCTGAGAAACTTGCTTCTCCAAACTGTTAAAGTGAAGCAGGCTGAATGCAATTAATCTCCAACTTTGTGTTGGTTTCTCACATCAAATTCCAGTGAAATTCATTTATATTTTTTGGCTGTATATAGTTAAAAAAAAGTAAACTTTTAGGGTTATAAAGGTGCTAAATCTTCTCTTATTTGTGGGCACTGCAGGTTATTAAAGACCGATTTATCTAACTATAAGTTCTTTTTCCCTTAGTGGAGGGAACAGACCCAAACTTTAAGATGGACTCTCAGAACAAACGCACGCCGCTCCATGCTGCAGCTGAGGAAGGTTACGCCGACATCTGCCACATGCTGGTTCAGGTTGGCTAAAGTTTCTCTGTGGGAAAACCACCGGGTTCAGATCCTGGGTATTTATTTTTTTTTAACGTGTGACTCCGCTTCAGGCCGGAGCAAACTTGGACATGTGTGATGAAGATCAGAGGACTCCGCTGATGGAGGCCTGCGAGAATAACCACATGGAGGTGGTGCTGTACCTGCTGAGAGCCGGAGCCTCTGCCATGCACAAGGTAGGCCAGGTTCACTTCGCCATCTTGACTACATTCAGGGAAATGTAGGAAATCTTTGGGATGTTTAAGCTTTTTTGTTTGCTTCCCTGCTTACCAGGACGTTGAAGGGTTCACATGTCTCCACCTAGCGGCAAAGTCTGGACATTACAACATTGTAGAGCACCTTCTGTCTACAGGACTGATTGACATAAACTGTCAGGTTAGTGCACTTTCATGTGTTCCTCTAAAACAGGCAAGAACTGCAGAACATGAAGGGAAGTCTTACTGATTTTTTAGAGACGGCGTAAATGTCTGAATTAAAGCTCAAACTGTTATGTTTTAAAGAATATTTGTGATATTCAGACAAACAGCTACAGTCCTGCATTTTACTTTCATTTATTTACATCTGAGAAAAACCCAGTTGGACATTTAATATTCTTTTTTTGGGAGATATTTATTTAATATTTATGTTTCATTAAAGTTATCCTAAAGAACCTGTCATTCTGTCCATCAATCTGTTCCTCAGACCGGCCATTTGTCCATCCATCAGTTTGTTTTTCTGTCCATCCATTCAGTAATTGTTACCGATCCCAACGACAACCTTTCCATCCATCTATCGTTTGTTTTTTTCAATGTTCGGCTGTTTGTTTGTCCAATCAATAATACATTTGCTTATTTATTCACCTATTTGTCTGCCTTTCCATTCATCCAATTTATTTGCCCATCAGTTGAGGCATCTATTTCTCCATCGTTCCATCAATTTACTCTTCTACCTATTTCTCCGTTCAAACATTCAACTAACCCAACAAGTATCAAACCACCCTCTAACAGTTTACTCATTAGTTTGTCCATTAGGTATTCAGACATTTTATCCGACAACCCCTCAGTCTGTTAATAATCCTTCTTCCATTCCTTCCTGTCTAGAAATCTGCAGAAGGCAGTAATTAACATAATTCATAATAAAATTTTATATCTGCATTAGAATTTAGCAGAAGACTGAAACTTCTGGATCTGGAGCACAAAACTTTAAACTGTAATGTTTTTTTTTAAGCCTTTCAAAGTCACCTATAGGCAAAAATAATGGCTTTAGAACAACATGGGTATTTTTGTGGTTTAAAATCTAGCTGTTTTTTTTTTCTAACCCCAAAGAAAAACACTTGTGTTCAAAGCAAAGCCGCCTTTCCCTGTCTGTGTGCGGCCCGTTTCATGAACAGAATCCAAGACCAGAGGCCAAAAATCTAATTTCCAGGACTTTAGATATTAGCTTAAAAAGAAATTCTGCTGCACATTAGCTGCTAAAAGAGCCACTTGGTTTAAACTTTGAGCTGGAAATATTAAGCTCTACCTCGCATCACTCCTCCCTGATGGGAGAAAGAGGACGTTTGTTTACATTACCGGGACAGAGCGTGAAAGGTAGGCGTTTCCTAAAGGAAATTCACTCTACGTTAACTTTCCCCAACAGCTTGCCTTCACAGGTGAGGGAGGAGCTGCTCCTCAGAGAGATGCATTAATCAAGCAAAATACCGCAGTAAAGCCGGGCGTACACTGTGCGATTTTTGGAGCGATTTTCCAGTCGTGTGAGAATCTATTGATCAGGCCAACTTTCAGCCTGATCGTGTGTGTACAGGGGGTTATGAGGGGCGATCAGCCTCTAACGACCACCTTCCGATCAGGTGATGATTTTCTCCCAACCGTCTTGGGCAAATCGCTCAGTGCGCAAACAAGGATTCTTCTTTTTCTTCTTCCTCTCAGATGTAAACATAGAATCATGGCAGGGATGCAATGAGTGAAATGGAGTTCCTTCTGTAAACCTGACAGTCTGTAGTAGCCACATTTGCTCAACCATGTCTTTTTTTTCCAAATACGTCGTCGCCTTTTCTTTTTAGGGCTTTCAGCACAAAATTGCACAAATTGCCAAGGCAGCGCGTTTCACTATAGTGAGCTTAATATTCCCCTTTTATTTGTTTGGCTTCCAGATAGACGAGTCAGAGCAGCTCCATCTCACTGCAGAGCTGAGTCTGACGTGGTTTTTAGCTGTGCAGTGTGAGCAGGTAGATCGGATGAGAGCGCCGTGCTGCACATACGTCGTGAGCTGTCAACTCACACTACGACGATTTGAAAAAAACGCACAGTGTATGCCCGGCTTCATAGAAATAAAACATTGTTAAAAGCTCAGAAAATTTTGTTTTTTTTTGTGTAAAATAGTAACCTGACTCCGCTAGATGGATTTGCTCCGCATATCCATCTGGAAACCTTCC